CGGACGTAAACTAATAAATGAGGTCATGTCAGGCCTCCCCTTTAGAATGTTCTTCTTGTATTTGAAAAGGTAACCTAGGAATCACAAATATATTTTCGACGCACGGGCTCCAAAGAAGGCGAATCCGCCGAAACGTAAGCTGATTGTGAATAAAGCGTTTATTAATCTCAGAAGCTAAGATGGAGAAGGACGAACTCTGTTTTTTGAGTGTTCCTATGTGATCTGCTCTGTAGACAGCGCGTATCGAGAGCATTGTTGGTGGAAGTAAAGTGGAAATACGTCACATGGAGTCACTTCTCGCCACGAAAAACTAAAAGAGCTGAGGTTATACGCAGTGCTTTTGACGTATGCCGTTCGTCGGAGCTTGGCTCGTGCACAGGCTCGGATTCGAGAGTAAGATGAAGTTCACGTCAAGTGGATGGAGTGAGAAGGCATGATATCTAGACTAGACTTCTTTATACATGCGCTGGTTTTCTTTTCTATGAAATGCGTCCTAAACCTTTCCAAAACGTTTTTGGGCTATATTGGCCATCTACGGAGCTAACTATATTCTAGGAACATCAAAAGAGTATTACGAAAGTTTTTCGCCCTTCACCAGCCGAATAAGGGTGTGGCTCCATTCAAGCCAAGAAGAAATTTCAAGTATTTGCTCAAAATTGTCTACAAGGGGTATGAGGAACTTTAGGTAAAAGGCGCAAAAGATGCATTGGATGACGCTCTTCAACATGATGCCAGCAAAAAGTTCACCCGAAGGTGGGGTCATCGTTTTTGTTGGAGGACATTCGTTCTTGTAGCATAACGTGAGCACCACCTAGAAAGGGACGGAGATAAAGAGCTTTCCAAATATACCTTATGTACTGCGAGGAGGACGAGTTCGTGAAGGGCGATCACGTGATGACAGCGACGACGAACCCATCTCGTCGGGAAAGAAACCTCGTACGTTGTGGTGATATAGAGGTCGCAAAGTGAAATGTAGCCTCCGGGTTTGTGATCTGGCCCATGAGTTTCAATTTTAGGCGCTGGTAGAAGAGTCGATAGCCTTCTATAGTTCGAGTGCCAAAAGAAGCCGTTCTTCCTCGTGCATGAAAAACAAGTTTCGTTCCATCGCAACCCAGTGTCCTGAGCCTAAGAAAATTATGGGTGAGTGAGAAACAGTGAGCTTTCGAATTAGCCTATTTGCGACTATCCGTCTGCTTCCGGAGATTAGTGGACAAGCTGGAGGGGCAAGTTTTCATGGAAATTATGCAGGAATCTCATTGTACGGCAGTCATTTCAACTGAATGATGCTCAAAGTCAACAATGAATTCCTCATAGAGGCCAACATCAAAGCAAGCTGTAGGTGGGTTCAGGACTTGAGTCTAGCCTCGATATCATGTCCCACCACGTTTAATTAGAGAACAAGTTTCTTGACAGGTATTGGTTACCATATGTGCACATAAATCGATCAGCCCTTTCCACGGTATCAATTTCTTTCAATTACCTGGAATCCGTGCTTCGAAAATGCGGGCAGTATTTCTCGAATGTGAGGATCGTATTCCTATCAAAGCGGGCTCTGGTCAGATGAGTTATTCGACCGCTCTCTACCGTGAGGGCAGGGAGCTGCCGATAATTCCAGAACACCATCTCAAGTGGTCAAGGAAGAGAGGCGTAAATTTTTGGTCAGTAATGATAGAATTCTTCCACTGAATTACTATTCCCCGGGATCCTAAAATAAGAGAGAGCTCCGTAGTGGACAATGTTGAGCCGAAAAAAGTTGCAAGCGCTTAAGACGCATCTCATGGAAAAACAAAACGAGCAAATGCATCAAAAACATGAACCTTGATGTCATGCCTACTTTGCGCACCATCCTACCGGCTGCGCCACCGTTGCACAGCTACGGCTTCGCTCGTTTCGCTGATTTGTTCAATACCATGGTATAACACAGGGAGGAACTGGTCCCGTAACTTTGCTCCCAGAACCGTTTAGCAGATTTGGAATACAGCTTTGAGATCAGCGTACAGAACCATCTCGTCTTGAATGGCTACTATTCTTCCCTTGTAAGACGACCTTTTCCTGGCAGAGTCAGAAAAGAGGAGAAGTGGCCATAAAGATCGTTTACGAGTAACAGACTACAAAGTTAGCATACATCCTCAACGCGAATGCCTCAATTCGACTGAGCTTTATTTGTTTTTCAACCTCTCCATTCGTCTATTTCGCGAGCTAGAATTCCTTGCGTTCAAAGCTTTCGTAAAAAAGATTCATCCCACTAGCGACCGTCTTGGTGATCGTTTGACGTCCCGAAGGGTTTAGTCAACAGCCGCCCTGACCCAACGATCATCGCACTATGTGTTCGGCCCACGTGATCTTCGAGTTGATGACATGGGCAGCGGCATTCGGTAGCTTCGAGCTCGTCGTCGTTCGTTGAAGATGAGCTCGAAGCTCTCGATACCCTTCTGCGCTCGCGCATTTAGGAAAAATCCAAGTTTTTTTCCGAAGCGCCTTGAATGACGTTGATTTGACGTCACTCAAGACGTCTAGTTCTCCGAGGCGAACGTCAAAGCAGAAAGGACAGCACCTTCGGAAAGGTGAGTGCTGAGCCAGATGTTTTTGCCTTCTCTACTACTCCCTCGATATTCTCAAATGATCTATTGTCGGAGCGTTTCATTCTGCTCAGCTTCGGAGCTTGGTCACTAATCGTGTTGCCTTCTCGACCTGGATACAGCATCCAAGGCTATTCATTTCGTTTCGCGTAGAAAGAGCATCAGATACCAATATGCCTCCCACGAATATCTTCTTTGTTATTTTCATTCTTAAGCCGGTTTTCGCACATCGAATTCGACCTGCATTTGTTCCGCCTGGTTCCCTATTAGGTGTTATAAGCAAGATTTTGTTTGCAAAGCGTAGGTGATGTAATTACCGACGACCCTCGCTCTTAAATCTTCCCATTGCAAATGGCGCACTATGCTCAAGAACGGCACTGAAAAGTTTTGGCAGAATGGTATCGCCTTGCCAATCTCTTCAATCTCTTCGCGTTCACAACGACTTCTTTATAGGATGGCGAAATCCTTGTCAAGTTGCCGTAGAGCTCACAAAGCATCTTTATGTGTTGGGCAGGACCGTCCTGGTAGTCCAGGGCTTCGATTGCCGCTTCTGTTCCAAGAGAATTCGAAGGCGTTCTGCGAATCGATGAACGTAAGAGATAACTGCATCCCGTATTCTCCTGATATTTCATTGAGTCTTGTAACAGTGTGGATGTGATTGGTTGTACTGAACCCCCTCCGAAACGTTTCTGGCTCCATAGTTGTTCATCTAGTATTCTGCCAATCCTGTTGCGAATGACGAGTGTGAAAAGTTTGTTGATCACAGACAGCAGGCATATTGGACGATTATTGCCAAGATCGTCTGAATCTCTCTTCTTCCACATCAACACTGTCTCGCTAGTTTCACGAAATGGGCAATTTGTATCGACGCGTGAAGAGCCAGGCAGGGTTTTCACATTGACTGGCGGACGGCTATTTAGATGCTCTGGTTTGGTCCTGTCGGGACCGTGTGCCGTACCGTTCTTCGTCGATGTGACGGCATGTCGAATTTTGGAAGAGAGAACAAAAGGGACGACATATCCGTCTTGCCTAAGATGGTAGGTAGGTAGACATGGCTGTCGAAAAGATCAGAATAGAAGTCGTAGACGACCTCTCCACTACCCTTCAAATACCGTAACTGTTCCATCAGCGGCGAAAGGAGGTCATCTTGGCCTTGTAATTACCCTGTCACCGCATTGACGTGGTAGGCCCTCGGGAGGTTGTTTATTTGCACCAACTAGAAAATTTTCTAATGACATTTTTGTTAACAACTACCTTTTTCAGCTAGTTGCCATGAAGACATGAAGAAGGCTGTGGAACAGATTGATCCTATTCAAGATACAGCTATGGTTGTGGAGCAATACAAGTTCGCCTTTTCTTCCAACGAATTGTTTTATTTTGTTTTTCATTCTCATTGTGACTAGTCCCCATCTGTGTATCACTTGCATTTGGCATAATGGAATTTCGTCAGCTTGCCCTGGTATTCAACATTTCTGCATTCAAGGTATGAATAACGGATAGTGGTGTTGTGTAGGAAGTCTCAATCCCATAGAATTGTGCTCACGATTATCGTGGTGTCTGCGCGCTTCCCACATTCTCTTCCGGTACTTGCTTATGATCCTTTTTGTTGTAAACTGTTAGGTCGGGATTTATTTATTGCCTAATGTTATATTTGAAAGTAAGTCCTGCAACAGTTTGAAATTGTCTTTCGGGGAAAAACAGGAACCTCTTGGGCATTTACACGCCTGGTGGCCATAGAATGTTCCCGAAAGATCACGAAAAAGGACACGAAAAGGCTTTGTAATCAGTATTGTGCTATTAAACACCATAATGCATCAGGCTATCATTTGATCTCTTATCTGTTAGGAGTTTATGTAGGAGCACTCAGAAGTATGTTATTTACTACATATTATCGATGTAGGCAAGCATGTGAGGATCTTTTCTGGTGAAATTTCATTTGAAGACCGGCAACGTACTGGTCGATCATTGGAATGGAAATGATGAGCGTTTACACATTGCCCTTCGGCACTTTGATGACGACTACAGTTTATGCCAGTCGGGTGCAAAAAGTAGATTAAATTAGAACTAAGCCCCAAAAACTAAATGTCTTCCTACTCCACCATAACATACGCACGCTCATGACTAGCGGAGCAGTTCAAAAAATCATGGGCTTGGATGGTAGGTATGGCTTGGATGGTGCCACATCCGCCTTGTTCATAAGCGCTAACACCTGATTTTCACCTATTCGTCTCACTGAAGCACCATCTAAAGGACCAAAGATTTGATGATCGTCGTCAACTTGAAAATGAAGTCGGTCATTTCTTTGCAGCCTCCTGAATAGTCCTTGAAATTCTGGTATAGCAGGATCGAGAGGCTGTATGGAAGATAGGCACGCCCGTTATTTAAGTTTAGATAAACACCTCAAAATTATCGCTAATTTCCTCATATTCGCCTTTTTTGAAACTTGAACATTGGTTCTATTATTGGTCAGTGCTTCTGTGCCAAACAAGTTTTTTAATAGCGGAACATCAGTTCATTTGCCCGACGTTTCGACCAATTCGTCGCTATCAAGACCTGAAAGCGTTTCGAGACTTTAGAGTGTTGCCTATCGCGCTTGACGAGCCCAGCTTTTAATTAATTGCAACTCAGACCGACGAACTTCCAACGGGTTAGAAATTCCAATAGGTTCTTTAAAAGGCTGTGTATCCTTTTTGAATAGTAGGTAAGGGTTATCAGTGGAACGTTCAGTGTGAAGTGGTGTAGAAAAGGGGGCTCCAAGAATATCACCGTTCACGCATTGTCGGCACATCCCAGAGCTGTTAAACGCGTGGTATCACGTAACACGTACAAAACAACTGTGGAGGTATACTACGATAACGAGGAGCGGTAAGAGTGCAGAAGTTTAGCACACCAATTAGCTAATTTCAATGGATACACAACTCGGCAGCATGGCTTACAAAGCAGATCAAGGCCTTTTCCTTGTGGAACTGGAGATAGGATGTTTCTTCAATTAACGTTTATATCAGATCATGTTCAGCTATGCCTGAAGAGAGCGGATCTAGCCAATGACGCTTTCTTGGTTAACCCACCAAGGGACAACATTAACCCATTGACGACCATGACGTTTCGCGGGAAAAGCGCCGCGAGGGACCGGCGCGCTTTTCGTCCACTCGCGACTGCAGCCCACATGTGGACTCTATGGTCCAGAATGACCACTTTTTGAAGTCTAGGAGAAATTATAAGTTTTTCGGAATGTTCCTTCAAATGGGATTGGTAAGAATGCAGTCACTGAGTGGTTATTGATCTTTATTATAGGAACGGCGTTCGTTCTAGCGTTCACTCAATTATGAGTTCAATCATTACTAGAAATCGTTTCGGAGAACTTTCACGAGCTTTGCATTTGGTGGATAACAGCGAAAATGCTAATGACGACAGTACTTTTGAAATAACAGCCCATTTTTCGAGGTTGTTCAACGAACGAAGAATTCACCAAGTAATGTACCCCTTCGAAAAAACACCTTTACAATGGCAAAATTAGAAGATTTTGTGGGACCACGCTGTATGTAGTTTCATTTAGGCCTGATGTAATGTTTTAAGAAGAAAAATTGCAAAGAAAATGGAAATATAGATAAATAAAACAAAAAATACAACTGCAGTCCACATATGAACTGCATGGTCGTCATTGGGTTAAACAACAATTGGTCAGAAATCGTCTCTATGTCCGGATACCGGATATCGATAGAGTTCAAAATATGGTCTATGCTTTTAATTAACAAAAACGAGTTCCCTAAATAACCCAGTAACCCTCGCAGTTTGTTTCGAGATAATGTCAGTTGAGGTGCCCACCTACCTCCACTGACAGCAAGCGACGTCGTGGTGCAGATATAGTAGTTTTTCTCTTCACGCGAAGGATCTTCGATCTTGCTCCTCGCCGTCGCCGAGTTTTCTGCACAGCTGTTCTCTATTATTAGGTTGTTCGGAAAGGAATGCGCGCTAACTTTGTCCATTTATTTCTCTCCTACTAAAGGAGATTTTTCGGAACAGTTTTGTCTTTCAGGGAGAGTTTTTTATTGCGCGTCTTTTGATATATTTCTTTTTATAACTACTTTGTTCCTTTCTGAAGAAAAAAAGTTTAGGAGATGCTTGACCAAAAATTGCTTTTGCGAGCTTGCATGTGGTACGACTTCAAGCAAGGGAAATCGGCGCATCGTACCATCTCTGAAGTATTCGGCGAGCCCTGACAGAAAGCCAATGTCGACGATGGTTCCAGCGTTTCAAAAAAGGTAATGAAAGCTTGGAGGACGAAGAACATGGAAGTCGGCCTCAAGTCGTCGATAACCAAGTGGTGAGAACGTCATTAATTCGGATCCACACCAAACCACCCGAGAACTGGCAGCACATTTTAGCTGCCCATACTCTACCATCCATGAGCATTTGCTGACGATTGGCAAGATGAACAGGTGCAGAAAATGGGTACCGCACCAGCTGAGCGACGCCAACAAGGCAACACGAGTGGCGATGGCAGGAATTCTTCTTCGTCGCTCCAAGAACAATGGTTTTTTCAGCTCTATTGTTGCATCAGATAAAAACAACATTCGACACACACATTCGATCTCAACATTCGACAACGCAACACGAAAACGACAGTGAATAAATACCGGTGACACTCCAAAAACTACTCTAAAACCGAATATACACGGCAGAAAGGTGATGCTCTGTGGTTGGTGGAACAGCAAAGGTTGAGTGTAGTTTGAGGTCCTGGATTCGGATCAGACGGTTACGGCGGACATTTACAAAGAACAATTGAGCCGCGTGGATCAAGCACTGCGTCGTCAAGATGTTGAAACGACGTCGACAAAATTCCTCCACGACAACGCTCGTCCACATGTCGCGCAAACCACCTTGGAAAAAATTGTGGAGTAGGGGCTGAGAAGTCCTGCCTCATCCGCCTTACAGCCCGGTCTGGCACCATCCGACTACCACCTGCTCTGGTCGATGCAGCACTCCTTGGTCGAGAGAATGTCCAAAAACCGCGAAGAGGTCCAACTCTTGGTGTCCAACTACTTTGAGTCGCAGCCGGCCGAGTTCCGAGGTGAAGAGTCTATTCTTTGCGTAAACGTTGGCAACAAGTCATTGATAGTAATGGAGAATATCTTTTGAATTGATCCTGTTTAGTTTCGTTTTTATAATAAATAATTTTTTAAGCTCAAACGCGCATTCCTTTTTGAACAACCTAATATATAAAAGATTGCATATTGTCTGGTACCTAATCAGGTGAGCGCCTCACTTGGGCTACTTTTCACGCTTATGGCAATTATTAAGGCAGACCGTTGCTGCAGATGGCTCATGTGGCATTTTTTCTATGATAAGGCGATTTTTTGTGTGCTTTTCCATATTGAGATTGAAACATAGTGATAGAATCTAAGTGCAGATAAGTTGTACCTGCATATCGTGGGATGTTATAATAGCTTTTTTTTTTGAAAAAAAACTCTGCTGTACAGAAATATCGACGAGAGTTTGCATCAAACCCTCATTTTTCGCTTGAGAAGGAAGAGCAGTACCTCAGTGCTACGGCGGCGCTTAAGTCGGTGTGAATGTGTCGGCCGCGCATTTCAAGCGACTCTATCTTCGCAGCAAATTTTGAGCGCTTATGAATTTCTTGAAAACTCCCTGAGTCGTTTGAGCTTCTATATTTGTAAATAGCATTCCTAAGTCTATTAATCACCTGAACTCGATTCAAAGTTCCATGGGAAATCGAAACCCTTCTCTGGAGAGGAATGCAAGATAAAGTGCTAATGGGGTAAGAAAAGGTAAAATTGTTCAAAAGGCAGAAAAGGAAAACTCCGGCAAAAGGATACACGAGATCGTTCCCGTGATCGTCATCATAAATGGACCAAGCTTCACATATTCGGTAGAAGGGAAGTGAATGCAATCATCGCTGTTGTCAACCCTCACTCTTATTTTATCAGCAGATGTGGAGGTTGAGGAAACAAAAAATTGTTTAGAGATGTAGAAAAATTGGCCGCATCTATGTAGGCTTTCCCTGCCCCGAGTCGGTGCGGTTGAATGAGATAGACCGAGTATAATGTAACCTTTCAAAAGAACCTATTCGTTGTCGCAGAATCACTTATTGTACCGGTTTTACTCTCCACCATAGGGATTTCTAATATGCGATTCTCCTCTCCTCGTGATTCTGCACCGTGCATTCTAGAATTGCTGCTATGAGGGTTCGATGTGTTTGAAGTTGTTGGTCTTAGTTTCTTCCCTCATTGTCACACCAATTTAGGTGCGGTGCCTTCTGTTTAGATGCTCTGAGACCCCGAGATGCCACAGTTCATGCTGACCGTCTTCCCTGTGATTCGGTAATTTAAGGATATGGTATTATTAGGTAAAGTCCAAAGTGTGATTAGGGATCGACAAGAGT